CCCCCCCCCCCCCTTCAAAACAAAAAATGGGCATTACTTCCATTATCCTTAGAGGTAGTTATAGAGTTGGATAGTCTTAGGTGTTTACACCGTAGAAACAATTTTTGGCGCAGTCAGGTGCCCACTATTAGGTTTCTTATGAAAAAAAAAGACGTAAATCTTCTAGGTAATGAGCGGTGAACACTCCCAAAAAATGGCTGCGGAGACTGAGCCGTGACTAGAAACAATGTTGAGGAACTCGATATTTGCATTTATAATTGTACTGGGATACCAGTGCTGGATCCAGGATTTTAAGTTCATAATCGTTAGCTTCACTCTTCATATCTGTGGCCTGCACATCACCTTCGCTAGCTGAACTCTCGCTTCGGCTTACTTGCGGTTAGCCGCGCTTTCAGTCCGGTTTGCTTATAGTTAGCTTTCAATTCGTTTGTTGGTTAGAGCAGTATTAAATATATTTTTAAAATATCATAGCAACAGGGATGTTTATTTAATTTCACTCTGTCACTATAGAAAGGTAGTCCTGAAAGAAGTCCTGGCTCGACTTCTCACTCAGACTGGGGTTAAACAAGATCCTGGTTAGACCAGATGCAGTCTGAAGAAAAGCTAGTCAAAACTTGAATATCCAAAGAAAGGCACAGGATAATCAAAACAGAAACGTTTGGGACAAGGGTTAGCGTTAGCAACTAGCCATATTTCTGCTTCTCACTGGAGGGGATGTTAGTCCATTGCAGGGTTACCTCCGCCATTAAATTCGCCGGTAACCCATTTATGCACCTGGCTAGGGGAGGTGTCCAGTGCCCGGAGGGGGGGTACTTTAGGAATTTCTGAGTGGGGATGTGCCGCTGGAACCCTGGAACCCTTAGCCTATACCAGAACTGGTTCAGCTAAATTTTGCTACCCTATACTAGAGTAAACCCCCCAAATCACTCCTATCCTAGAGTAGCTGTTTTCCAGAAACTGCGGTCACTAGCACAGTCTAGCCAAAACAAAACCTTATACCACAATCTCTCAAAAAAGATTTATTTATACTTGTTCAGTTTTTTTTCCATCAAGTCCTAAATTTCAGGTTAACCTGATTGAATAAAGAACCGTCATGAGTGTTGCTTTTTAGGTACAACAGCAAAAAAAAAACACTTACCTTCTTTCTCTAAGTCACAAAAAAACCAGTCCACCTCCTTCTTCGTAGTAACAAAACCGTCCACCTTCTTTCTTGCAGTCACAAAGAACAGTCCTAAGTGAATCCTAATTTTGGACACGGGTTTTCGATTTTCAAGCCCGTATCCTGGTTGCGTCGCTGGTCGGGGTCGCTGGTTACATGCTGAACAATGCCAAGCACGCACGTATGCATTATCAAGACAATACATTGCTTAATTTTAACTAGTATTAAAACCACCGATTTCCGTCCGCATCCCGATTTTTGACAGTTAATAATATCCAGAAGTGTTTTATGGTACGGTAGTCATCTATCGACGCTGTTGAGGCTGAGTTGCGAAAATTTGAACTTGCCAATTTCATTCTTTTTATATTTTTGAGTGGCAATTCCTGGTTTCCTTAGTCTAGATAAAATCTTCAATCAACTGGTCAGTTTCGTGAAAAATGATACCCTATTCTAGACCCAAACGCTCTGATTTATATACCCTATGCTAGAGTAAAATGCTTGAAAGCCATACCCTTCACAGCGGCACATACCTATATAGCCCATATATGGCAGTACCCCCCCCCCCCGGGGTCCAGTGCCTGAGAACACAACGTATAATGACTCCAGTCAGAATTCAAACCACTCAATTTGGAGTCCGGCGCGCTAATTCAGTTTTCAGGGCTTTTCCCTTTCCCTGGGAAAGAGGTTGGCGCTATCCATTCCTCCAAAAATAACGTCCATTCCTCACAGGTAAGGATGGTCTAAAATTGTGCGCACGTGTCCAGAGGTTGGTCGGTGCTTGCGTGAATGCGTGTTACTTTTATTAACAATAGCAGAACGCCATTCAAAAGTGCGTCAACGTCAGAGACACCTTGGCACGTTTTCCCTACTCGAATTGGATGAAGTTCGTGATAAACTGAAACTCGAACCAATGAAGGTTGCTAAACATAATCTAGGGTCACTTTTTACATAACTGCATTTGCCAAGCCTTGATCCGCGTTCTGTCCTTTCTAACTGGGCTGATTTTAGACGGCAAGTAGCTATATTCTGGCCCATATCATCAGCATATGACATGTCAATAGATACTCTCCGCTAAAGAACTTTCTCAGTTTTTCGCGTGTTGAACTGAAAAGGAAAATGTAGTGCTGATGTCGGCCATAATTTAGCAACAATGGAGCAACAACTTCCTGCATGACAATCTTAAACTACTCGGCAGAGCTTTATTTTGCAATCGCGAGTCGATCGACTCGCCCACCACCGGATTTGTCTGAAAAGCCTCTTTTGTGTTAACGAGTTAAACTATAAACCGATAAATTGGTTTTCAAAGGATCTTTGAAATCAAATCCAAGCACGACAAGAATGCGGATTATCTCAAATTTGCGGGAAGCCATCAGGATATATGAATAGCTGTTTTTCTAACCTGTCTCTTAAATTACCGTATATGTTCACAAGGCGAACAAAATATGATCACGACATTGGCACCACCCGGAGGGGCACTCTGCGGAATGTTTTGACGGGGGTGCAGAACGTGGCTTACAAAACTCTGACTAGATTTTTGAGCAGATTACAAGATCTTTTCATGCCTGATTCAAGACTTATCCGAGGCTAGCATCCGTTCGCGTGTCATACAGGAGAACTTTCCTTAAGGCCGGCTCATAGTTATATGCGTCCGTCTTTTTGCTTATTCCCCAATGAAAAGTAGAGAAACTTAACCGTTTTCTTCTTTTTGAACTTTCGTAGAGAAACACCCCCCCACATTTCAACATTCAGAGCAAAACTGTCCAAAACATACAAAACTGATTCTCAAGGTAAAGAAAAGAGATTGAGACAGAAACCGAAAAAAAAAAAAAACTTGAATTATGAGATTTCCTAATATTTTAGTTTCCAGAAACAAACCAGTGATATATACCAAGTCCTCTTGGCAAACATACTAGGTATG